CCCCCAAAACCCCAAAACCCCAAAACCCCACTCTACTGAAGAAGTATTGATTATATAAAATTAATTTAGGTAAGTATGAAGCCACTCTGTATAATGACTTGGCAGCAGGCTGGGGAAGTAGTCAGCAGCTACTGCGTGACTGAGCTTGGTACTAAGTGATAGAAAAATGATGGGGTTAGAGATCGCTCAGATTTTGGGATAAATGTGATTTTTTGTATAGATCATGAAACCGCAAAGACCCTTGTCAGGTAAATATCGATGCTCATTTGTATATCAGACTGATAAGCATAATCTTTGGGTTTTGGATCAGAGTTATTACTTATTAAATTTATTTCCAAAACATCTTGAGTTATTCCTTAAATAGGCTATCTTCCGAGATCATATCACCAAAGATGTTCTACTGCAATGAACGACCCTTTGAATAATTTTAGAAGGTAGGTACAATTTCTTAGACTCTAGAAGTCAAGATGAACAATACAAGAAGAAGAGAAGAATGAATAAAGAAAAGTACCAACATCATCAAATTTTATAGGAATTCAACAAGATTCGCTCTTCTTGGCACTAAATAAAGAGCTAACTAATGGAAATAGGGAAGAAGCTCATCTAGAAAAATCTATGAACAATCTTAGAATGAGGTCTTCCTATAGCTCAGGGTTCGGAGCAACCACACAGAGTTTCTTTGCAACTACACATGCTACTACCAAGGCTCCTCTAGAATCTCCAAATGGTAAATCTAAAACAAAGATGAGTTTAAAAGTTCTTAAGCCAAAGGTATTTTTGTATGCTTATATCTCTAGCCTAGAAAAAGCTGTAAAAATATGTCGTAACTCCTAAATAACATTTCAGGTCAAAGGTACTCAATCCGAAAAATGAAGAGACAAGAGTTTCGAATGACAATTCTCCATCCTTAGTGGTTTTCGAAGAACCGGAGAGTAGCAGCAAGCATTCAAAATGTGATGAGCTACGACTTCCTATAAAAAAAAAGAAAACAATTAAGCACAGTAATGATATAGTTGCAGATTCTAATTCTCACAGAAGTGAGAATCAACCCTCTTCTGAAATAAATTCTAACAGAACTAATAATAGGAACATGCTGAGGGAAAGTTATAATAAAATGCCTAGAATGTCTAAAATAGAACGAAATGTCACGTACAAATTCTTTTTATATCTATAGAAGATGCCTTAAGCCTGCTCTGAAGAAGAGAAAAGTGAAGAAGATCAAGAAGCCACCTCTAGTTCCAAAGAACCCTCTTTGGACAGAGATCAAGCTTAAGGATGACTTGAAATACATATGTAGACTAAATAATCACCTGACTAATGAAGAGATTAATGAAAGAACCGCATTCCAATCAAGTCATAGGATCAGTTGAAACACTTTTGTAGTCAATAAACAGATCAAAATTCCAAATGTCTTAGCTAGGGATGTCTATGAAAAAGTAGTCTATGATGTAGTCCGTCGTGAACAAGAAAACAAGGACCAAAAGGATAAAGAAAAGCAAAAGGAGGATCCTCAAAAATCTAAGAACAAACTCACAAAGGCTGAAATGCAGATGCTCAATGTCTTAATCCCCAAGAATAAGAGAAAAGACAAGGATAAGAAATCAGTTCAGCTAGAATCCTCTAATAATGAGATCAGTAAGAAACATCTTGGGCTAAGCAAGTATGAAGACTGGTATGAGGTACTCTTCTCTCTTTCTAGCACATAGGTAAAACGGCATGATTTCAACCAAACGCAATAGTTGAACCAGATGAGGAAAAGGTTAATAATATGGACATCCGTCTGCTCATAAACCAGATTGATAAAGCAATAGAGCTTCGAGAGCTTGAGATCGATAATGTAGAATCTGAAGTAAATTTCCTCAAAGAGATCAAATTCATCGTGAACTCCTTCAACTCTCAGCTGACTGAGATTGAAGAGAAATAACAAGAAGAATGAACGAACTGGTATTTCTGGGAGTATTACTAACATTTTAGTGTGCATATTCGATGGTAGAAAGGACCAGGCCATCCGGTATCCCTCCAACCAAGAAAAGGAAGAGAGAAAAGAGAAGATTAAGAACAAGTTTGAAATCCTTACAATGAAGAAACTCATAATTTCTGACCACTTGGAATAAAAACTATGGAACTTTATGATGTTGCAAAGACTCAGAAGTTGATTTCTGAGAACAAAACTGACAAGGAAATATCAGAGAGGCTATATGAACTCTGCAGACATGTAGTTAAGGAGCTTGCTGAAGGATACCAGATCATTGATAAAGTCTTTCAGAATTTAGTAACTGACATGGAAGAGTTGAACATGCCTCATAAGCCTAATCCTTTTCAAAATTGGCATGAGGTGAGTCTTCAAACAAAGAAGAAAGATGTAAAGATACCTCATGCTGGTTCTCCGAAAATGATGAAAAAGTACTTGAAGAGTGTAAATAAAATATCAAAAGTTGTGAGACTGATATCCTCAGCCTCAGGTACCAGGAACAAGTTGAGGATTTTTCCAAATTCAGGTAAGAACAGGAAAAGCTCCACATTTAAAAAAAAGGGGGAGAAAATCATCAACGAATCTCTAATAAAGAAGGCTATCGAAGGTAAACCTTGAAATGAATTTTTATTTAGAAACTGACTGTAATCTAAACTTGTCAAAGAAGAAATAAACCTTCTATTAAGAAAGAGAAACTAGACAACATCACTATTCTTACCTATGTAGCCAAATGCTTTGCATTACTAGGAAACAAGGTCAAACTTGGCATGAAGAAGCATAAGAAGAATACTAATCTCTTCGCTGATGCCATTATGCCTGTCTCAATGAAGCCTCGACTTATTATTGAAAACTTCGAACTCTGAGATCAGAAGCAAGGGTACAACATGTAAGTTGTTTGTGTCAGGTCTTCTCTTTTCACGAGAGATCTCAAGAAGAAATGTTACTAACTTTATGTAGGATCGGTACAACCAAGTATGAGAAATTAAGCACCAAGAATCTTCAAAATTTTACAAGTGTATAAGGAAATCTTCAATTTGTCACCAAAGACTTGGGGTTTTGGGGTTTTGGGGTTTTGGGG